CCATTAAGTAACAATAAAAATTCAGAATAAACATAAAGGCAGATGCTGTAATTTACTTTAAAAAAAGTTACTGAGAACAGAGGACTATAGTTTTAGTAACATTTCACTCTTACACATCCATATATGCTTATAGCCATAGACAGTATAGAAATCATGAACTATAGAAATCAGGTATAGCAGATGCATAACAAGCTGAATAGATGATTATGCCACTTAATTTTTGACCCAAAGCCATATATTGAACAGAACCAGATTGTAAATGTTTCCTCATCCCTATAATTTTCTCTCTTGCCACAGGGTAAGGTTTCACAAACTCTTATATGCCTCTAATCTATACATACCACTTTTCCAATGCCCAATACTATGCCTGCTGCAGAGCAGGCTTTAATAAATTGTTTACTGAATTAAATTAAATTGAAAACAAAAGTTATAGAAATATTCTCCTTTGGGATTTAAAAGTGACTGGTAGTAATTGATTGCCTTAAGGGTGATTCACTAATCAATTAACAGACTGACCCAAAATGCTGGTTGCACATGCATTTCTAATCCCACAGTCCTCCCCATCTACTTGGTTACATGTATTTGGTCCCATGCTGCTTTTGCATACACACAAGAAAGTGTGGAAGACACACATTTACTTTGAGTGTTTCACAGCCTAAAATTCTCCTACAAGGTTAAATATTCCTTCTCCCTATTATTGTTTCTATTCCCTGGGAACAGTGCTAAAAATAGCTAATCAGGCTTATCTTCTTAGGAGGAAAACCCCAATGTATAAAAATATTGCCAACTTTTTCAATAATTTTGCTTCATGAACCAGCCCTCTTCTCTGCTATCCCATGCATCTAATTCTGGTTCACAGAGTTCCAACTGTGATGATACACATGATGCTTTGATGTTCAACCAGGAGCTAGCTTACTTACTTACAGTAAACCTTTTCTCCATGTAGAAACCTCTATTAGTTAGCTTATTCATTCCAATATAAAATAAGATCACTAAATATAAATTAACATACTCAGCTGCATCCTTATAGCGCTTCAAATCCTTCTTCAGACTTTTGTTCTCACTGTCCAAAAGCATATTCTGAGTGTACACATCTGGAACAAATCTAACATCCGGAGTTTTTAATGAACCCTTCTGAATTAATTCATACCTAGGACAATATAAAATAAAAACATCTTATATAATTTCATTCCACTAACTTAAATCAACTTATTATAAAAAAAGAGTATGGGGCAGTGGATAGAGCACCAGCCCTGGAGTCAGAACGACCTGAGTTCAAATCCAGCCTCAGACATATAACACTTACTAGCTGTGTGACCCTGGGCAAGTCACTTAACCCCACTGCCTAGTCAAAAAACAAACAAAACAAAAAGAATATGTTATCAGCTGCTACCATATTACATTTATGGTTTACATAATATTCATAAAATATTTCACAAATTAAGAAAGTTATAGAAGTATTAAGCACTATCATAATTATCATTGTCCTCACTACTACTGTCATCAGGTAGCCTGTCCTCTATTAATATTTCAAATTATTTTATAAGATTTAAAATAATTAACATACCAAAATATTTATTTAGCAATTTATAAAATATCTATCAAAAAAAAACAATTTCTGCATGAGATCATATTCCAAGAAAAACATACATATCATATTGCAATCATGTCTTATATTCTCAGGAAATTATGAGGTATTTAAATGAGAGGAGATGAGAGGAGAGGCAAGAGATTCTGATTTGATTTGATTCTACTGGTTAAAACATCACAGGGTAGTTTAAATCACATCTTGTTGAGTGTTGAAAAACTGGTTTTCAAATTACTTTACAATCCCATCCAGTGGTTTTTGTGAATGGTTACTAAGTTTATTTATTTAACTATTGAGTCAAACAAAACCACTAAATTACTAAGTAGAAATTTAAGACATATAGTAAACACAGCAGCAGAATTACAACTTTGGAATAACTTTAATAATAGTTATCAGAATATAGAATATCAACGTTTCTATCTGCCAAAAGCAAGAACTTTATGTTGTATTGTGAAAAATTTTGTTAGCATAAGGAAGAAGAGTAAAGACAACCTATCAGAAAGAAGAGAAGCATAGATAATTGCTCTGGGGAATGCAGGGAAGGGAAGGGGAAAGGAGGAATTTACAGTAAAAAGAGGCAAAAATGAGCTGTTGGTGCTTCTGAATTTGCCTTATCATTCTATGGACACAAGGCGAATGACTGAAAAGGGATCTCCAAAACAGTGACCTAATATAGCGAGGCTACCCCAAGATTCCCCAGTTAGATTTTGTCCTAGCATCTAGCCCTGCCATTATAATCCTCAACTAGAGAAAGATGGCAGAGTATAGCCCCTGAGGTTAAGCTTGGTCAGCCCATGTTCACTCTAAGAAAGCAGCTTCCTGACCCTTGAATCATTTGAGATTTGACCTATGATAAGCTGAATGCTCAGAGACACAGGTGATTTCTCTGTCGCAAGATACTTTTTTCAAAGGTCATTTACCCTTCCAAAAAGACATCCTTGCTACAGAGGTCACTGATTTTATTTTTGGAATGACTAATTTTTCCTTTTGATTGTTCAAATACTTATTTGTGATTTTAAAACTCTAATAACACTTCCAGATAGCTGCTGTCAAAATAATTTTTGCAAGACACAAGTCTGACCCAAATGGCTCACTCACTTGTTCAAAAACTTTCAGTGGCTCCATACTGCCGCTAAGATAAAATAAAAGCTCTTATGCCTGGCATTTAAAGAATGTGACTTCAATATCTATTTCCATCCTTATTCCATACTGCTTCCTTTTATTACAGTCTACATTACAGCCAAAATAGGGAATGAGCTGTTTCTCTACCCTGACATTCCAATTCCCACTTCAGTGCACAAATTATGTCCAATGCCTAGAATGCATGTCTTCATTTCTGCCTATCAGAATCCATCCTTTCTTCAAGGTTAAACTCATGTGTTATCTCCTGTGTGAAATCTTCCTTGTCTGTTTACATTTGATTCCTCTCTCCTCCTCCAATGGATTAGAAACTCCTTGGACCAATTTTGTTTTCTGTCTTTGAACCCCCATCACCTTGCACATTGTAGGCACTCAAAAATAGTTGGCTAATTGAACTCATACTTAAGTTTTATATCTATTTCACTTGATGAAGTTCTTCAAAAGAACACGTCATTTTTATCCTATTTTCTCCTTCATGTATTTTGATCCCACACTCAATTCAGAAGAGGAAATATAAGACCACTGTCAATAAGGAGCAATTCTGAACTTCTGGAGTTATAGGTAAACTAATCATTACAACCTCAAGATAAAATTTTAAACATTTTATTTATTCTGGTTGAGAATATAAGTGGAAGGGGAAATTAGAGCTCTGTTTCCCAGGGATTCTTCACATCACATTGGAAGGCAAGATTCTGCCAGCTTTCCTGGCTGGTTTTGAATACCTGCCAGAAGTCTAACTGAAGTGTTTCTTCTGTTTTAAATTGTTTTTGTTTAAAAAAGATTAACTCTTCTTATAACTATGCAATAAGAGCAAGATAAGATTTCTTTGTTTTTCTTACTATAGAGCTTTGAAATATCAGTCTCATTATAAAGCTAGTGACAATGATTTAACCTGTACTGTTGAAAAAAAAAAACCCTACAGAAGTGAAGATGCTTTATAAGGATTTTACTGATGTTACATAATGCTACAGTTCATTTTCTAAAATATTTCATTAATATAGTTATAATTTATTTTGGTGACAAGTTAATTTATTAATCAAAAATATAAAATCTAAAAAGAATACTTGATAAATTCAAAGAACTTTTAAAAGTATAAACAAATAGTTTTCTTTAAATCATTTTCATACTTATGGCTAAGAATTAAAATTTATCCTCAAATATGCTGTCAAATCTGTCTTTTCCTAACAATGAAGAATTTTATAACCACCATCTTTTGATACATTAATATGGAAAAAACAATTAAATCAATTTGCAAAAACATTTTCCTGTACATTTTTAAAATAATCTGCTATGGACATCTATACAGAATTATAGGACCTGGAACTAGAAAGAGCCTTAGGAAGGATCTAGTTCAATGTACTCATTTTACAGATGAGGAACTTGAGAGCACCACTTAATCTCTCATGGCTTCAAGCTTAATTTTAAAAAAAAAATTATACTGGGTTTCTGTGGTCCTTTCTAGCTCTAAGATGATGTAATTATGAGTACGAGAAAAGTTAAATAACTTATGTAAAAATACACTTAGGTTAAGTAGCCCAGCTGGGATTCAAAGTCAGGTACTCTGATTCCAAAACTAGAGCTCTTTCCAATACACCACACTACCTCTCTCTGAATAACAATTACTCACACAGAGGTCTCATTTTTAATAGAAAATTCTAATATTTCCCCCCATTAAAACTGCTCTCTTCTCTATGATATTAAGCACATGGAGTTGGGGGTGGGGCAGGAGAAAATAAAAAAAATAATAATTTTGCCCTCAAGGAGCTTAAACTCTAGTCAAGGAGAGATGATAAATACAAATCAAAGTACATATGCATGTATCACAAACCAAGTTTTGTGAGAGATCTAATAAAGAGGATAATATTCCTAGCTGGGGAGAATAACTTATACAGAAAAAGGCGGGGAGGGCGGAGCCAAGATGGCGGAAGGAAAGCAGTGACTTGCTTGAACTCTCCCTCAAACCCCTCCAAATACCTATAAAAAATGGCTCTAAACAAATTCTAAAGCAGCAGAATCCACAAAAAACAGAGTAAAACAAATTTCCAGCCCAAGACAACCTGGATGGCTGATCTGAAAGGTATATCATGCCGGGCAGGGAGAGGAGGGCAGTTTGGCATAGGCCCACAGACTGCAGCGAACCTAGAGCAGGCCTCAGAGGACTAAATCACAGGCAGCTGTGGCGGTTTCCAGACTTCTCAATCCACAAACGCCAAAGACAACTTAGAAGGTCAGTGGGAAAAGTCTGCAACTGCGTGAGAGAAGAAGCTGGATCTCAGCTGCCCCGGGCTGCCTTCTGAGCTGCCGGCCCACAGCCTGAGGGGGAATCGAGTGGCTGATCAGAAGGGGATTGCAGGGATCTCTTTGCCAGTGCTGCGGCAGGAATCTCTTGCTTTGCCCGTGTTTGGATCTGGGTCACAGTTCTGAGGGGTGGTCCTGGGGTGAGGAGGAGCGCTGGCGAGGAGGAGCGCTAGTGTGGTGGTGCTTGTTGTGGCAGTGGAGAGGAAAGACCTTGCTCCTTATCATGGGCACCTTGGAAGAACTGAAAATTTTCAGGTCCCTAGAAGCATCTCTGAAAACAGCTGTACAAACCCCCAAAGCTTGGGACAGTACATTCTCCACATTGGAAACAGACTCTTACCTTAAAGAGTTTAAAACTCAAGTGATTGGTTGGGATCATGAGCAAGCAGTGCAAAAAGAGTCAGACTATATTATCTTACTTAGGTGACAAATAAGATCAAAACACACAACCAGAAGAAGAAACAAAGTCAAAGCTCCTACATCCAAAACCTCCAAGAAAAATATGAATCAGTCCCAGGCCTTAGAAGAGCTCAAAAGGGATTTTGAGAAGCAAGAGAAGTAGAGGAAAAACTGGGAAGAGAAATGAAACTGATGCAAGAAAATCATGAAAAGCAAGTCAACAGCTTGCTAAAGGAGACCCAAAAAAATACTGAAGAAAATAACACCTTAAAAAATAGCCTAACCCAAATGGCAAAAGAGGTCCAAAAAGCCAATGAAGAGAAGAATGCCCTAAAAAACAAAATGGACAAATGGAAAAGGAAGTCCAAAAGATTACTGAAGAAAATACTTCTTTAAAAATTAGAATAGAGCAATTGAAAGCTAGTGACTTTATGAGAAATCAAGACACTGTAAAACAAATCCAAAAGAATCAAAAATTAGAAAACAATGTGAAATATCTCACTGGAAAAACAACTGACCTGGAAATTAGATCCAGGAGAGAGAATTTAAAAATTATTGGACTATCTGAAAGCCATGATCAAAAAAAGAGCCTAGATATCATCTTTCAAGAAATGATCAAGGAAAACTGCCCTGATATTTTAGAACTAGAGGGCAAAATAGAAATTGAAAGAATCCACTGATCTCCTCCTGAAAGAGGTCCCCAAAGGAAAACTCCTACGAATATTGTAGCCAACTTCCAGAGTTCCCAGGTCAAGGAGAAAATATTACAAGCAGCCAGAAAGAAACAATTCAAGTATTGTGGAAACACAATCAGGATAATACAAGATTTAGCAGCTTCTACATTAAGAGACCAGAGGGCATGGAATATAATATTCCAGAGGGCAAAGGAGATAGGATTACAACCAAGAATCACTACCCAGCAAAACTGAGTATAATTCTTCAGGGGAAAAAAAAATGGTCATTTAGTGAAACAGAGGACTTTCAAGCATTCTTGATGAAAAGACCAGAGCTGAATAGAAAATTTGACTTTCTAATACAAGACTGAAGAAAAACATGAAGAGATAAACAAGAAAGAGAAATCATAAGGGACTTATTAAGGTTGAACTGTTTACATTCCTGCATGGAAAGATGATATTTGTAACTCATGAGACCTTTGTCAGTTATTAGGGTAGTTGGAGGGAAAAAGTTATATGTATGTATATAGATAGATAAATAGATAGAGGGCACAGGGTGAGTTGAAGATGAACGGGTCATATCTGGCAAATAAAATTAAGGAGTGAAAGAGGATTATACTAGGAGAAGGAGAAAGGGAGAGGTAGAATGGGGTAAATTATCTCACAAAAAAAAAAACAGAAAAGAAAAGGCTCTTACAGTGGAGGGTAAACAGCAGAAGGTGAGAGGGAATGAGTGAATCTTATTCTCGTAGGATTTGACTTAAGGAGGGAATGACATACACACTCAATTGGGTATGGAAATCTGTCTTACCCTACAGGAAAATAGGAGGGGAAGGGGACAAGAGAGTTGGGGGATGATAGAGAGGAGGGCAGATTGGGAAAGGGGGTAATCAGAAGTAAATACTTCTGAGGAGGGACAGGGTCAAAAGAAAGAATAGAATAAATGGGGGGGCAGAATAGGATTAAGGGAAATAGAGTTAGTTTTTCACAGCATGTCTACTATGGAAGTATTTTGCATAACTGCACATGTATAGCCAATTTTGAGTTGCTTTGCCTTTTCAATGAGGGTGGGTGAGGAGGTAAGAAGGGAGAAAATTTGGAACCCAAAGTTTTAAAAACACATGTTTAAAAAAAAATGTTTTCAAATGCAACTGGGAAATAAGAAATACAGGAAAAGGGGTACAGAAATCTATCCTGCCCTACAGGAAAACAGAAGGGGAAGGGTATAAGAGAAGGGGGGAAGAAATAGAAGGGAAGGCAGTCTAGGGGAAGGGGTATTCAGAATGCATGCCATCTTGGGGTGAGGGGAGGGGTGAGATGGGGTGAAAATTTGGAACTCAAAATTGTGTGGAAGTAAATGTTGAAAACTAAAAATAAATAAATTTATTAACTAAAAAAGAAAAAAAGAAGAAAAAAAAAGGCTCTTGGCCTTTCAGAAAAGAGAAGGTTTACACACACACACATACACACACACACACACACACACACATATGCACACATGCAAAATTTGGATATAGAAATTCATCTTACCCAAGAACAAAATAGACTGGAAAGGGGCTAAAAGAATGAGGGAGGGTGTGAAAAAAAGGAGGTTTGACTGAGAAAGGCATTAGTGAACATTAAAACAGACTCTTAAAGAGGGGACAGAGTAAACAAAAGAAAGAGGAATAGAATAAGTGGCAGTACATAGTTAGCAATCATAACTGCATGTGAATGGATGAACTCACTAGGAAGACAATATATTCAGTAACAGCAATATTGCAAGGATAACTGAAATAGCCATCACAACGCCAAAGGACTCATGATGAAATATGCTCTTCTCTTGCAGATAGAGACCTTACTGATTCAGAGTGCAGATTTAGAAGCATATTTTTTCTTTTGTTTATTTTTCTTGCATTTTTCCTCCTGGAATGTGATTAAAGTAAAAATGTGTTTTACATGACCATTTGTATAATAGGTATCATATTACTTGCCTTCTCTGCGGTCTGGGGAATTAGTGGAAGAAGGGAGAGAATCTGGAAATTAAAATTTAAATAAAATTTAAATGCTGAAAAAAAAAAAAGAAAGAGAAGATTTCACTAGATAAAGACTGTAAGCAGAATGCAAGGAAAGATCCCTGGCATGGACTTGTATGGACCAATGCTGAGTGAAGTGAGCAGAACCAAGGAGAACACTGTACACACCAACAGCCACCCTTACAGAGTTCGTTAGAGTCTCAGGCAGAATTGGAATTTAGTTCCATCTAAAAGAGGCAGAATTCCAACTTAGGAATCCAACTGTGTGAAGAATGATTTTGATAGACTTATCTCTTCTCAGCAATGCAAGGATCTAAGACAACTCCAAAAGACTCATGATAGAAAAAATTATCCATATCCAGAGAAAGAACTATGGAATCAGAATGCACATGGAAGCATGCTACTTGCTCTCCTTTTCCTTCGTAGCTTTTTGTTTTATTGCTTCATTCTTGTGGTTCCTCCCATTAGTTCTAATTATTCTTTATATCATGATTAATGGGAAAATGTTCTTCATATGAATGTATAAGTAGAGACTACATCAGATTGCATGCCATCTTGGGGAGTGGAGGAGAGGGAGGGGAAGAACATTTAAAACTCAAAATCTTATGGAAATGAATGTTGAAAACTAAAAATAAATTAATTAATTATTTTTAAAACATGTGACTGTAGTATTATTTCCAAAGGAGAAATAAGAGATGATGGTGGCTGGATTTTACAACTATTAAATTATTAAAAAGAAGCTCCTGAATTTTGATGAGATTTTTGAAAATAATTGTCTAATTTGAAATAGAAGGATTATGGAAAATCCTATAATCAGTCATTTAAATAAGGTCACATAAGCCAGTAACACTGATGATACAAAGCCTAAATTGTAGTATAAAATTTATGAAGGAGAATTTTTTTCTGATTTTATTACTTATTTTTAGTTTTCAACATTCACTTCCACAAGATTTTGAGTTCCAAATTTTCTCCCTATCTCGTCTCTCCCCCCACCCCAAGATGGCGTGCATTCTGAATACCCTTTCCCCTAATCTGCCCTCACTTCTATCCCCCCCTTCTCTTATCCCCTTCCCCTTCTATTTTCCTGTAGGGCAGGATAGATTTCCATACCCCATTGCCTATATATCTTATATCCCAGTTACATGTGAAAACAATTTTTAACATTTGTTTTTAAAACTTTGGATTCTGGGGCAGCTAGGTGGTGCCACGGATAGAGCACTGGCCCTGAAGTCAGGAGGACCTGAGGTCAAATCCAGCCCTAGACCAAACACTTGACACTTACTATCTTTGTGACCCTGGGCAAATCACTTAACCCCAATTGCCTAAAAAAAAAAAAAAAAAAAACTTTGGATTCCAAATTTTCCTCCCTCCCTACCCACCCTCATTGAAAAGGCAAGCAATTTGATACAGGCAGTACATGTGTAGTCATGTAAAACACTTCCATAGTAGTCATGTTGTGAAAAACTAAGTATATTTCCCTTCATCCTATCCCACCCTCCATTTATTCTATTCTTTCTTTTGACCCTGTCCCTCCTTAGAAGTGTTCGCTTCTGATTACCCCCTCCCCCAATCTGCCCTCCCCTCTATCATCCCTTTGCTCTCTTATCCCTTTCTCCCCTATTTTCCTGTAGGGTAAGACAGATTTTCAACCTAATTGAGTGTGTATGATATTCCCTCCTTAAGCTAAATCCAATGAGAATAAGATTCACTTATTGTCTCTCACCTTCCTCCATTTCCCTTCCACTGTGAAAGCCTTTTCTTGTCTGTTTTATGTGAGATAATTTGCCCCATTCTACCTCTCCCTTTCTCCTTCTCCTAGTATAATCCTCTCTCACCCCTTAATTTTATTCTCCAGATATCACCCCTTCATCTTCGACTCACCCTGTACTCTCTATTTATCTATCTATATATACAGATATAGATATATACATACACAAAATTTTACCCTCCAACTACCCTAACACTAATAAAGGTCTCATAAGTTACAAATATCATCTTTCCATGCAAGAATATAAACAGTTCAACCTTAATAAGTCCCTTATGATTTCTCTTTCCTGTTTATCTCTTCATGTTTTTCTTCAGTCTTGTATTAGAAAGTCAAATTTTCTATTCAGCTCTGGTCTTTTCATCAAGAATGCTTGAAAGTCCTCTGTTTCACTGAATATCCATTTTTCTCCTGAGAGATTACACTCAGTTTTGCTGGGTAGGTGATTCTTGGTTGTAATCCTATCTCCTTTGCCCTCTGGAATATTATATTCCATGCCCTCTGGTCCCTTAATGTAGAAGCTGCTAAATCTTGTATTATCCTGATTGTGTTTCCACAATACTTGAATTGTTTCTTTCTGGCTGCTTGTAATATTTTCCTCTTGACCTGGGAACTCTGAAATTTGGCTACAATATTCATAGGAGTTTTCCTTTGGGGACCTTTTTCAGGAGGAGATCAGTGGATTCTTTCAATTTCTATTTTGCCCTCTAGTTCTAAAATATCAGGGCAGTTTTCCTTGATCATTTCTTGAAAGATGATATCTAGGCTTTTTTTGATCATGGCTTTCAGATAGTCCAATAACTTCTAAATTCTCTCTCTTGAATCTATTTTCCTGGTCAGTTGTTCTTCCAAAGAGATATTTTACACTGTTTTCTATTTTTTCATTCTTTTGGTTTTGTTTTACAATGTCTTGATTTCTCATAAAGTCACTACCTTCCATTTGCTCCATTCTAATTTTTTTTTACTTTAAAAAAAACTTTATTTTTGTTTAAAGTAATTTTTTGAAACCTTCAGATGCAAATATGAAATCCTTACTTCTAAGACAAGATACAAAGGGTCAAGGAATGGTTCAAAAAGCTGCCATATTTCTCTTTGGATAGTTCATCCTACTCCATATTTATAAATCACAGCTTTTGGTACAGATATCACATCACAAAGACAATGATACAGTGTGAGGTCAATTATCAAATGTTTCTTAAACAAAAATAAAATCCTGAAATTTGTCACAGATCCAATTCTTTTTGAAAAAAATTGTTTTTAGGAAGCACTGAGACAGCAAAGAATGGCTAAAATTAGTCTTCATTAATTGCTCAAAGTTGTTCAATATCCCCTTTTAAATAAAAGGACACAAAACATTGATTAAAACTGGCTAGGAGGGAATATGTCAGCAACTCAATGACTGCAGAGTTTTCACTATGATGCTTCCCAAGAAGTCACCAACAAGACAGCATCTTCCACACTGCACTTGTGGTCTGCAGCTATTTGTCTATGCTTATAATAGATCACATAGCCACACATGACTAAAAGTTCACTTACTGCGAACATCTGGAAGGCAATGTCCTGCCTAGTAGAATTTCATTTTCCCATCATCAGTGCTCCAAACGAGATTCTCTATTACTTACCAGGTCTATCAAACTAGGCCTCAAAAGGCCTGTTGAGAAGCAAACACACATAAGACAATACCATGATACTTTAATGTATGTCCCACCTTTGAGGAACTCTAACAGTCCTTAATAGCCATCATCTCATTGAGCCTCATAACACTTTTGTGAGGTAGTTATATAGTATGTGGCAAATATCACTACTGTACAATCTGAATAAACCAATACTGGTTTGGGAATGATGGGTCCCATTTCCCATGCCAAGAAAAACTTTGTATAGCTTTTTAAAAAAAGCAGCTCCTTTTATCACTATTTATAGAAAAGCGGACCCCACCCCCCTTTTACCCTCACTCCCACTGTAGCCCTCACCACTCTTTAAATTTCAAAGCTCAGACCTGATGGAGGCCAGCTTCACTCAGAGCTGGGACAGCAATACTCACAGCACTTGGGTTTCTGGTCAAGATCAAAGTTGATAATTGGGTTAAAGTATAGGGCCCAGTAAAATAAACAGTTGCAAATAAACTGAGGAATAATAGGCCAAAAAAGTCCCTGTGTTGATACTTTCCAAAAATGGCTCCACATTATGTGAGGAACAGTTTTCAATTCATTCCTTGACCAAATTCTCCAGAAGGAAAATAACTCCAGAACAGAGAGTAACTTAGCATTAACAATAAGAAACCATGATGTCGAGTAGTGCACATCAAGCCAATCCCAGGCAAATTCAGCAATCAATTGATATGGAAGGAAAGAATATTTAACAAGGAATTCTCTCCACTGCTTCCAAGTGGGTTCTTTAAAGTCAAGAAACTTTGTGATGATATCTTCTTTTTCTTGCATAGGGCATACTGTATGGATGAAAGGTAAGAAGGTTTCTGCATAATCAAACAAGTACAGATACAACATACTGAGTCTTGGGGAGCCCTTCAGGGCATACAATAGGAATAATGACTTGCCTGGGTTGACAGACTTGCATTCCCAAAGATTCTGTGGGGGCTTTACTCCTAAAGTTTTGACACACTCCAGTTCCATTATGATGGCTTTTCTGTGGCTACTATTCTCTATGTTATATGGAGCCTTTGAAAAGTCTTCATCTGTCAATGTTAAAAGCAATCTGTCTTTAACTCTTTCAGATAAAAATCTTTATAAAGAGAGGCCCAAGGGCCCAGTTGCTCTAGCCAAAAGATAACTTCTTCAGCCGTCCATTTTTGTAACAGATTTGTGAACAAGCAGGTCATGCTCTGATATTCTACTGCTCCAGTGATATACAAGTAGAACTACAACAACACCAGTTAAAGCTGTCAGTACTCCAGAAAAAATCCCCCTCCTCTTTGAGGATTTGCTTGCCCTGCATTTGGAGCTACAGAAATCTGATCATTTCCGTATTTATGAAAGGCTGCAAGACTATGTACTATATCACTGTTCTGCTGAATGTCTTCTAATCTCAATTTGATGGCATCAGGAAATAACTTTTCAATGGCATCTCTGAGCAGAATATTTACTTTTGGAAAACCTTCCCATTTCTCTCGGCACTCTGGACATTTTGTTTTCTTTGAGGACACCCACCATAGACCCAGGCAATGTCGACAGAAACTGTGCCCACAGTTCAAGGTAGTAGGATTCACCAGGATGTCATAACAGCAGTGGCAAGAAAATTCACTAACAGAAATTTGACAACTAACACCAGAGATGGGCTCTTCCTCTTCAATGCTCCTCATGTTGGGTGGAATTAGCTGTATGAAGATTCCATCTTTTTTCTGGATCACTCCATACTCTGAAGATAACTATTTCAGACTCTTAAGAGCTGTAAGGCATAATTAAATTTTGCGGTGCTAGAGCCGGCCCCGAGCAGATCCGAGCATCCCCCTGGTGCCCACGGGGGCGCTGTCCACCCCAACTCCCAGCCGCGGCAGCCAAGGCGGAAGACCCTCCATTCTAATTTTTAAGGAAGTATTTTCTTCAATGAGCTTTTGGACTTCCTTTTCCATTTGGCCAGTTCTGCGTTTTAGGGCATTCTTCTCCTCATTGGTTTTTTGAACCTCTTTTGCCATTCGGGTTAGGCTATTTTTTAAGGTGTTATTTTCTCCTTTAACAAGCTGTTGACTTGTTTTCATGATTTTCTTGCATCACTCTCATTTCTCTTCCCAGTTTTTCCTCTACTTCTCTTACTTGCTTCTCAAAATCCCTTTTTGAGTTCTTCCATGGCCTAGGACTAATTCATATTTTTCTTGGAGGCTTTGGATGTAGGAGCTTTGACTTTGTTGCCTTCTTCTGGTTGTGTGTTTTGATCTTCTTTGTCACCAAAAAAGATTCTATGGTCTGATTTTTTTTTGCACAGTTTGCTCATGATTACAGCCAATTACTTGAGTTATAAACTTTTTGTTAAGGTAGGGGTCTGCTTCCAGTTTGGAGAATGTACTGTCCCAATCTTGGGGTTTTATGCAGTTGTTTTCAGAGATACTTCTAGGGACCTGAAAAATGTTCAGTTCTTCCAAGGTGGCATGATCAAGTGCAAGGTGTTTATTCCTTTCCAGTCCTGTACTCTGGTCTATGAGTGACCACAAGTGCTCTTTTCTGTCTTGGAACTGTGAGGAGGATGTCCTCTCCTCAGTCACTACAAGTTCCACCACACCAGAGCTCCTCCTGGCCCCAGGACCACCACCTAGAACTATGACCCAGATCCAAGCACAGGCAAAGTAAGAGAATCCTTCCTCACCACCAGAAAAGAGATCTCTGCAACCCTCCCTGATCAGCCACTCAACTCCCCCTCAGTCTGTGGCCTGAACCCAGGAAGCAGCCGCCACCCAGGGGCTATGCTAGGATTGGGGCTGGGACAGAGCTCTCACCCTGGTCACAGACTTTTCCTACTGACCTTCTAAGTTGTCTTTGGTGTTTGTGGATTGAGAAGTCTGGAAACCACTATAGCTGCTGGTGATTCAGTCCTCTGAGGCCTGCTCCAGCTTCGCTGAGGTCTGTTTTTCCTGTGTTTTTTCTTTTCCTTTCCCAACCCAGCACAACAGACCTTTCCAATCAACCATTCAGGTTGTCTTGGGCTGGAAATTTGTTTCACTCAGTTTTTTTGTGGGTTCTGCTGCTTTAGAATTTGTTTAGAACCATTTTTTTTACAAGTATTTGGAGGGGTTTGGGGGAGAGCTCAAGCAAGTCACTGCTTTCACTCTGCCATCTTGGCTCTGCCCTCTGAAGGATAATTTTTAAGAACAGCTTTCTATTCCATAATTCCTATACTTTTAAAAAATTATATTTTAAAAGTATATCTTAACATGTCTTCAAAATAACATTCAATTTCCAAAGTAATGCAGTTGTTGTTTGAATGACTTAAAATGTAAGGGTGTGGGTACTAAATACACTCAATATTCTAGAAAAACTGTTCATTAACAAAAATGTCATAATGGTCATAATCAATATCTTGAATGGAAATATGTTTTTAAAAAAGCAAAATCCTATGGTAACTATGGTGGAATGGGTGAGGAAGAAGAAAGAGATAGATTTGTATCATTTTAACTCAGGTTATATGTAAACAATGTAATTATTACTCTTTAACTTCAATATGCATTTGCCTAATCCATGAACTACTATCCTAAATAAAATGTTCAACTTTTTAAAATGCATAATGTTTTACCATTCATTTTGAAAGCAGTTAAGAGTTCTGGTCATTCCCATTTTGATGAGGAAATTGCAGAGAAAGTCTTCTACCACTTCAGGTACTTCAGACAATGATTGCTTAGTAGGCATTACTGTTTTCTGGGCCTGCAATTTAAATTTGACACAATTTTACTTTTAAACATGTGCAAATTCTGATATACAACCAAGAGAAGAATTCTTTGGTTGACCTTTGAATTCTATATACTAGCATTTACTAAAGAAAAGATCATGGTTATTATAATAAATTAATTAATTTTAATATGCTATATTTTTAAAATGGTTGCATGTTTGTATGATGGAGGTGACTTTTAATTTTGATTACCCCTCTTATCAAATGGATACAAACTAGACCAGCTTATCTAAAACTGATCAGAATCAAAAACGTTCAGAGACAGAAGAAAACTAGAAGCATGAAGTCTATTATTCATTTTACAAATGAGGAAACAGGTTCAAAGAGGTGGAAGGGATAACAGACGTTATGGAGGTAGAATGACAAAGACTTGGCAACTGAATGGATATGGAGGTGACAAAGTAGGGGGAAAAAATTAAGTGGGGTTTTAAAGCTTGGCATCTGAGAGGTTGGTGATACCAAAAGTAGAAAAAAGAGAAGTTTGATGAAGAGTTATATTTAGGACTCTTAGATAACCACAGACAGCAACTGTGGCCATGAAATTAAAAGACACTTGATCCTTGGAAGGAAAACTATAGCAAATTTGGACAACATACTAACAGGCAGAGACATCACCTACTGACAAAGTTCCATACAGTCAAAGCTATTGTTTTTCCAGTAGCAATATATGGCTGTGAGAGCTAGACTATAAGGAAAGCTAAACGCCACAGAATCGATGCTTTTTAATTGTGGTACTGGAAAAGACTTTTGAGAGTCCCTTGGACAGTCAATACTTAAATTAATTGAGGCTACTCACTGAAAGGTCAAATACTAAAGCTGAAGCTTAAATATTTTGGCCATATGATGAGAAGCGAGGACTCACTGGAAAAGACCCTGATATTGGGAAAGACTGAAGGCAAAAGGAAAAGGGGATAGCAGAGGATGAGATGAATGGTGTCATTGAAATAATTAACATGAACTTGGACAGACTTCGAAAGATAGCAGAGAACTGAAGAGTCTGGCATGGTATTGTCCATGAGGTCATGAAGAACCCTACATAACTGAATGACTAAACAAGAACAACAACAAATATGTTTAGGACAGGGAACATGATGTATTTAACTTTGAATATGTTGAGTTGAAATGATGATAGGGCCACAAGTGTAAAAGTCCAATAAGCAAGTGAAGATGTGAAAATAAAGTTCATGAGAGAGATTAAGAAGAAATAAAGAGAACTGGGTGTCACTTAAGTCAGTCAACACATTTATTAAGCAAACATCTGCTACGTGCCAGGCGCTGGGCAAAGTACTGTGAATACAAAGACAGGCAAAAGACAATCCCTGTGCTCAAGGAGCTCATGCTCTAAAGGGGGAGACCCAACCCAACAGCTATTTACAAACTACATACAAGAGTCACTGGGCAGAAGAGTACGTGAGAAAGTGTAAGGTGAAAGAAAAGTGGAAAGGTGTGGGGCTTCAGGGGAGCAGTATAAGGTTCAGAAAGAGTTTGGAATGCCTAACAGAGTATTTTGTATTTGATCCTGGAGGTGATAGGGAGCTACAATGGTCTGCATCTGAGTGGCAGCAGTGTCAAAGGAGGGAAGGGGGCATATTCGAGAGCTGTTTGCAAAGGTAAAATGGCAGGCCTTGGGAACAGATTGAATGAAGGGGGCAAGAGATCCTGAGAAGCCTAAGATGACCCTTCGGTTGTGAACCTAGGGGACTGAAAGGATGGTGATACCTTTAATAGTAATTGGGAAGTTTGGTGAGAAAGACTATGAGTTCAGTTTTGGACATGTTGATTTTAAGATGGCCACAGAACAACCAGACTAAGATAATCTAGTTGGAAGTTGGAGATGCAAGACTAGAGGTCAGCAGAGGTTAGAGCTGGATAAGTAGGTATGAAAATCATCAGCATAGAGATGATAATTGAATCCATGGGAGCTAATAAGATCACCCAGTGAAGTAGTAGAGAGGGAGAAGAGAAGAGGGCCCAGGACAGAGTCCTGTGGGATACCTTTGGTTAGTGGGCATGATTCAGATGAAAATACAGCAAAGGAAGTTGAATAGGAGAAGAATCAGATGTCCCTAAAATCCTAAAGAGAAAAGAGTTTCAAGAAGAGGATGCTTGGCAGAGATATCAAGAAGGATGAAGATTAAGAAAAGTCCATTGGATTTGGTCATTAAGAGATCATTGGTAACTTTAGAGATAGTTTTGGTTTAATGATATTAGAAGTCAGATTGTAGAAAGTTAAGAAAGTGAGAGGAGAGGAAGTACAAGCACCAATTCTAGATAGCCTTCTCAAGAAGAATATCCACAAAAAGGCAGAAGAGATATGGGATAATAATTAGCAGAGATAGAAGGATAAGTGAGGCTTTTTTGAGGGTGAGGGAAACAAGGGTATGTTTTTAGGCAGTAAGAAAGTAGCCAGGAGACAAGGAAAGATTGTAAATAAATGAGAGAATAGGAATGATAGGGCAATCCGCTAGAGGAGATGAGATAGAATGGGAGTCACTTATGTAGGTAGAGGGGTTTCCCTTGGCAAGGAGAAGAGCCACCTTTTCATGTGAGATAGGGGTGAATGAGGAGACAATGGGAGAAGGGACCTGAGTGACATGAAATGAGGAGAGAAGAGGGAGCTCGAAGCAAATGGTCTCTATTGTTTTAAAAATTTATATATAAATGCTAATTGAACCAACAGAAAAATCTAAGTTCACCAAGGGAGCAAGTAAGATCACTGGTATGCTATAGTGATTTAGTCGCCGCAGTGGCAGGGTCAGAATTCAGATCACATGGGGCTCAAAAACAACTGGGTAGACAGCATTTGAAGGTTATAAATGTTTTGCTTGAATAGCAAAGGCAAGAGACACCTGATGGTCAGCCAACATCATTCACCAGTACACTCATGTTAAAGAAATCTACAGGAAAATCTGGATGGAGCTGGAA